TAGAACAGTGGCCTTCTGTTAACCTCATGTGAAGCTGCACCGCCATAGGTAGAGGCTGATGGCAGCAGCCCTTGGCAACCTGAACAGAAGCAGTTCCTGGCTTTTCTGTAGCCTAGATTGGTAAATTCCAAGAGCATCTGTCAACTTCATTTTTTCTTCTTCTCTCTCCTACCAGAGCACCCAAGAAAAGCTCACTTTCAGGTTTGGTCTGGGAATCAAGTGAGTCACTGCTGAGGTTCCCCTGAGTTGATGAATTGAGAGGGGAGATGAATACAGAGTTTGGGGAGGAGAGGAGCATTAGCTGCTATGACAGGCTAAGCTCCATCCGTCTCAGGCCACCCCATCAGTCCTGTGTCTTACGGAAAACAGTAGCTCTCTACATTCGCTCCTGGCTTGCCGTGAAGAAGCCTGTTTACTTTTGCCCGGTCATTCCCTGAAGAACTCATTTGCTTTTGAAATCTGTGTGGCTGTTTTCTCTTTTTTTCCCTTAGGCTAAAAGGGATGGTACTTCTTAGCAGTGTCCTATGGAGAATATGTTGTTTTTACCATTGTGCAGTTTTGATTGCAGAAGTACTGGATTTTTTATTTTTTATTTATTTATTTATTTTGTCCTCATGGTCATTTAGGTCATCTGTCTGCTTTCTGATGCCCTTGTTCTTTGCTAACTCATCTTTGTGGCTGTGTGGCAGATGCGTTGTGAGGCAGGGGGATATGGTGAGGGAAGCGCAGGCCTGCCCTCGGCTCAGTGGCCGTAGGAGATGGATACCTGAACAGGTCAGTGCAGAACTGTGCCAGGTCCTACAACAGGGCCCATTAGTGACCCTGCCAAGGAAGGAACCGTATCTTCCTGGGGGTAGGGCAGGGCAGGATGTATTTAGGGAAGAAGTAGCACTGTGACTTGCCACTGAACAGTCACTGCTCTGAAGCAACTCTGCATAGACATGGCTGGAACAGCTAGACAGTCTTAGACCACAAGCTCAGAAACCTCCAGGGGGCAGCAGGAAGCGGTGCAGTCAGCTAGGCTCTGGCTTTCAGCCTATTTAGCTTCCAACTCAGTGCTCAGGATGTGGCCCTTGGGAGGGCAGCCTGGCCTCTCTGTTGGGTGTGCTGGTGTGCTGTGTATGCTGGTGTGTTCTGTGTGCTCGGATGGGGCAGTCATGTGCTCTGTAGTTGTGACCTGTGCTTGAGTTCAGCAGAGCTGTCTTGGAGCTGAAGGGGAGCTGGTGACCTTTAAAGGCACGGGGCTCATCCTGTTTCTGTTTCTTTATTAGATTTGGATTTAGGTTTTGATTTTATTTAATTTTTTTAAATCTACTGCATTCCTGTCCTGGATGCAGCACTCTGCTGACCTTACACCGCTGTAAGGGTCTGCTCAGAGCCAAGGCTCCTGCAAGTGCCCTGCAGCTGGGAGACTGAAAGCCTCTTCCTTTTCTTCCCATTGTGTTGACTGGGATTTTCTAGGGGAGGAGTGGGGCCCGTTTAAAGCTCCCCATGCCAACCGGTTCATCTTCTCTCACGACCTCTCCAACGGGGCCATGAATATGCTGGAGGTGTTTGTGTCTAGCCTGGAGGAGTTCCAACCTGACCTGGTGGTCCTCTCTGGATTGCACATGATGGAGGGACAAAGCAAGGAGCTCCAGAGGAAGAGACTCTTGGAGGTAATAGCTCTGTTACTGACCCACAGGTCTCAGCTGGTATTTTCTTTCAGGCTCCTGCCACTGAGCCTCTAGCTGATGCTGCCTTGTCTTAGGCTCTGCCCCGTCAAGGTAGTAGCAGGAGTAAGGCAATTGAAGACATCTTGCTGAGCCTCTCCATCCTGTGCTTAACTGAGTGTGGCTGCAAGCTGCAGGGTTTGTAGCTATGTCCTGTGTTTTCTGTACCATCTCACTTCACACCAGCTATGCTGTGCTTCATGCAGGTTTGTATACATTGGGGCCAACTGCTCAGTTTAGGTCCCAGGAATAGGAGCCAACATGAGCATACGGGTGTAGTTCTGTGTCCTCTGATTCTATAGCCCTGGTTTGTGCCTACAGAGTAGAGTTTTTCTATTGGGAAAAGCAGCTATTGTCCACAGAGGAGGCGGGGACCCACGCTACTTATAGTTCATGAGAATGCAACGGGTATTTTGAGTCCATCTGGTCTGCTCAGGGCCGAATCTTGCCTTCTTCCCCCTGCCTGACTTGTGTCCTAACGGCACTGCTTGTCCTCTCTGCAGGTGGTGACCTCCATCTCTGACATCCCCACTGGTATTCCAATTCACCTAGAGCTGGCCAGTATGACCAACAGGGAGCTCATGAGCAGCATTGTGCATCAGGTAACCACATGGGCCATTCACAGGTTGCCTCTGGCCCTGGGGCCTCAAAAGGACGTTCCTTTCTCCCACGAGACCAGACGTGTGGGCTCGGACAGAGTTACTGCCTGACAGACGGGTGTTGTGTCAAGTGTTGGGGTTTTGTTTAGTTCTGCAAATTTCAGAGGCAAAACTGAAAGCCCAATTCAGCTCCAACTTAGCTTCTTTCAGTTAAACACAAACTTCAGGTGAACCTGACTCCCTAGTGCTAGATATCTTAGGTCACCTCCCTTTAGACAGCAGGGATGATTTGGAGAAGTCCCAGTGAGCCAGGCCTAAACACGGGCTTTTCACACCAGGGCTGGCATGTCAGCTTGGCTACTCATTAGTTTTATGAGCTTAGATAATATATGAACCGACACCCAGGTGTAGTGTGAAAAGATAAGGGGTGAGAGCTCCCTCAGCCAGCTCTTCTGCATCCTCGCTGGTCAGGAATCTCATCAGTTTCATTTGTAGCTCCAGTGTTATTTTATGGATGGGTAAGAAAACATGGAAGAATATGGGTAGGATGCCTGCTGAAACCCATGAGCCCTCAGAGGCGAAGGTGCAGGGAAGAGCCTCCACAGTATGTGTTCTGCCCTTTTCACAGTGATACATAACAAGACTGGGTCTGGAGGGTGTTGAGGCAACTCCACAGTTTCCCAAGTGGTCATGAAGATGGAAACAGATTTAATATGTGACACTGGTTTCAGAGATAGGGGCCATGGTAAGAAGAAAGATGATGCCTGCCTGATGTAGTCATTGGCTGTGTCCTAATACAGGAGGAGCTAGGTTGTGTCCACCAAAAAGACCTGTCGTTATTTTTGTTAGCAGGTCTTTCCCGCAGTGACTTCTCTTGGGCTGAATGAACAGGAGCTGCTGTTTCTCAGCCAGTCAGCATCTGGACCGCATGCTTCTCTCTCCTCCTGGGACGGTGTTCCTGATGTGGGCATGGTCAGTGACATTCTCTTCTGGATCTTGAAAGAACATGGGAGGAGTAAAAGCAGATCCTCAGATCTCACCAGGATCCATTTCCACACGCTGGTCTACCACATCCTGGCAACCGTGGATGGACACTGGGCCAACCAGCTTGCAGCTGTAGCTGCGGGAGCACGTGTGGCTGGCACGCAAGCCTGTGCCACTGAAACCATAGATGCCAGCCGAGTGTCTCTAAGGGCACCTCAAGAGTTTATGACATCCCATTCGGAGTCAGGCTCCAGAATCGTATTAAACCCAAATAAGCCAGTGGTGGAGTGGCACAGGGAGGGAGTAACCTTCCACTTCACACCTGTGTTGGTGTGTAAAGACCCCATTCGAACTGTGGGCCTTGGTGACGCCATCTCAGCTGAAGGCCTCTTCTATTCAGAAGCACACCCTGATTAGGAAGGCTGTAAGCAGTTTGTGTGAGGAACGAAAACCACCCATCTTAAAATTCCAGGAAGAATAGAGCTTGGAAGATAGGCTGTGGGTGTCACAGCAGTTCCTAGATCTAATTGGAAGACAGCCAAAGAAATCACAGCAGATGAAACTGTACAGATGCATTCCAGCCTATTGGCAATTACATAAAAACACTTCAGGGTTAATTGAAACTTAGTTATGTACTAATGAGACTGGATTTTTGTTATTTTATGTTGTGTTACAAAGGTTAAAACCTCCATTCCTGAGTCCCCAGTTGACGTACCACCAGTTGTTACAGACACTTAACTCTGGAGAGCTCGTCCCGCCAGAGAGCCCTCCTCTCCTTGCCCACTAGAGAAGGGCTGTCCCTCCCCACAAGCCTGACTGCTCATAAAGCCTGGCCAAGGCAGTCGTGACAGCTGCTCCTGGGCAGAATCAAGTAGTGTTACAGTGACAATATTTGATGTGTGTACCTTCTCAGCTCCTGCTCTCAGACATAGGTCAGAGCCACAAGAGAGGACAAAACAGTCCTGTGCTTTATGGTCGCAGACTGGAGATGCTTGATGAGCCCTGAGCTTCCTGATCACTCTAAACTTGCTCGGAAGGACCATGCCTTCCTGCCCCAGCTCCACAGACTGGGGCTGACTGGGCTCAGCCTCATCCCTCAGCCCTGGAAGAGCTCTCTGCAGCAGAACCCTGGTACTCGTTCCTCCTGAGCCTTGAAGAGATCTGCTTTACAACTGGAATGTGCTTCTGTGTAGAACACGTTTTGTGTTTGCTTTGACTCCGCCATTAAAGAGTTTGACCTCATAAGAGCCCCAAGATCATGAATAAATGTGTCATGTTGTATAGTTTTTAATAAATCAAGATTTCTGTGTGCTTTTAAAAATATTAAAAGAATTTACACTTCAGGGATCCTAAGTCTAATCGATTTTATTCTCACCTCACTCTGGATGGATCAGTGACCTGCATGTCACTTGGCTGCGAAGGCGTTTCCTTGTTCCCTGCCATTGGGTTAGACAGTTCCCAGGCTGAGCCCTAGCAGTGGGCCTGTCAGGCTTACAGTCTCAGAAGCTACTGCTGTGGAGTGACCTTGAAGCTCTTGGAAGGAAGCATAGCATGTCAAAGAACCAAAAGCTTTCTAGTCCAAAGTACAGGGTGTGTGTGGAGCCGAGAGCAGGTCTGCCCAGGACAGGCCACGCACGCCAGCCCCTGCAGCTAGCTGCTCCTGGAATTGCAAACCTCCCCTTTCTACTATGGGTAAGAGGGAAAGTCTTATTCTTTTTTCTAGAGAAAACTGAAGCCTACACAATTATGAATCTTGATATTGGTGGCTGCTGCTTAATCCTCTGCCTCCAAGGAAGCTTAGTCAATATTAGTTTTCTGGGAGACAGAAACAAGCAGCTCTTTGGGTTTGAGGCCAGCCTGGTCTACAGTTAGACCCTGTCTCAAAAACAAAACAAAACAAAACAAACAAAACAAAAAACAAAAAAAACCACCTAAGTGCTGAGATTACAGGTGTGCACACCAGGGCTTCAGCTGTTAGGAAAGCTGAAGTGAGAAGAGATAACTTTCTTAAAGCCAAGACTTTATAAACTCTCATATGTTCTTTTCCTTAGTCTCCAAGTTATTTGTTCAGCTTCTGCCCTGAGTATAGTCTCAAACACCTCTCTGGGTGTTGGTAGTAATGCCAGTAAAGACCATAGTGAGAAGTGTAGTGAGCGCCTACCTAGGCCAGTGGCCTTCATGTCTGCTTCCCCTTGAAAATTAGCAGGGCCACCTTTGGCACCAAGCTCAACCCCTCTGTGTTTGTCAACAGATGAGCCTTGAGCATTAACAGCTGCTAGATCCAGGAGGCTGGAGAGTGAGTACTGCAGTCCTGGGACCTAGTTCAAATTCTAGCACCTACATTGTCAAACACACAAAATAAGTTTGTTTGTCTAAAGTTGACAGGTCAATTTTGTGACGGGAGTAAAATGTACCAGAATGTATGTTAGAAGTTATTAACTTGATTGTTGTATAGAATGAATGTACAGACTTACAGTGCATACACCTGTCTACAGGTGCCTTTCTGTGAAGGAGGCTAAGCCATAAAAGTAAGACTGTTGCCTGCGACAGGTGTGCGGAGGTGGGTAGAACTGAACAGGTGGGGCTGTGCTCCTCAGCCCTAGGCTGTGGATGGCATTTGACTCGGGTTTCCACACAGGGTTTATAAGGAGACAAAGGGTTTGTACAGCCCCTAGCCAGTAACAGGCTGCCCGGAAACTGTACACTCCCTGTTGCACTCACTTGAAACTGATTTAACCTGGGAAAAGCTTCAGCCTGCAGTACCACTAGGAGGAGTGTAAGATGGCAGCCAAAAGCAGGGGTGCATTTTATTCTCCTACTGAGGGGCCCGAGGCAAGGGTAAATATCAGTCAGCATGATCCAAATCCATGAAGAGTATTTGAGTTGGTGTTGTTACTTGATAAGGCTAACAGGTTCTCTTGGCTTCGCCCACTTAGTTCAGTTATAAAACGAGGTTGTTGATAAAGGAGACAGATGCCCTGCACATATTTAGCGCAGTATGCTGCACATAATTTTAAGTTTGATAATCACCACTTCTCACTAAGCTGAATAGGCAACCTCTGCGTCTAAGACCACTTTAAGTCATTTGAAAGCTGTTGTAATCCAGCGTTTTCTTGTTTGGTTGTGTTTTAGGTTAAGAAAGTATGTGATGAAGCTGCACAATTTATCACTTGGTAAGTCTCAGCAAATATGTTTCCATCACCAGCTAAATCCTCCATGCTTCCTCCAAGTCATCCCATCCCTAACCCTGACCCCTAGTTAACTATTTTTTCTTGACTGTTCTGGGTTTATCGGTGAAATATTCACTGACTGGTCCTGTATAAAGCTGCTCGAGTGTGCTTTAGAGAGTCATGCATGTATCATACAGCTCTGTATTTTACAGCTGTAAGTACATACAGGTTTCCACTTTCAGGTGAATAAACTCTCACCAACAAGAGCTTGAATAGATTCTTCTTGGGTGAAAATCTGTAGGACCAGAATTGCCAGGCAAAGACCCTTATCAAAGTAGCTAGACCATTCTACACTCCTCATAACTTCTGACTGTTCTGATTCTGTCTGGTTCGTGCTAAAAGTGGGAGTTTTCAGTGTTAGTTAGAGCCATTTTGGTGGGCATTAACTGGTTTTTCTGTTTCCCACGTAACAAACACTAGACACCGTTTCAGTCTCAGTTGCCCACTCCTATACTTTGTAAGATTGCACAACACTTTGTCATAATTGAGTTTGGGTTGGTTTTTCTTATTACTGAGCTAAAAGATTTCATCATGTTTTCAGGTATGATAAGGTCTCTGTCAAGTCTGTTTATCCAAGCTTCAGCCTAATGCTCATGTTAATGTCCTAACAGTTGTCTTCCCTGGGAAACATAATGACACATCATCCATGCAGTCTCGAGGTTTCTTGGCGCTTTATAACCTCGGTGTTAACAGTTAGGTCTGTAATGCAGTTTTGACTTAATTCCTATGCATAATGTTAATCTGAGGACAGATTTATTTTATTTTTTTTACTGGTAAAATATATATATATATATATATATATATATACTGTAGATAACATAGTTTTGAAATATGCTTACATTGTGGAATGGCTAGATTTCTAGAACACATTGTTAGGAGCATGCAGTTTGTGGGTATTTCAAACTGGCTTTTTTCACTTAGTATTATGCACTGACCACATCATTTTCTCAGCTTGCTATAGCTCCATTTTGCACTTTTCCTCTGTCTGGCTCCACTGTAGTTATTCACTCACTTACTTATGCACAGGTTTAGGCATCTGTGTAGGGGTTCGGGATTGTTTCTAATTCATTTCAGCAAATACTTTTGGATTATATGTTTAGTTTTTTTTTTTTTAAAAGAATCTGCCAAATTTAGTTCCAAGGTACCTATGCTGAAGCCTTGCTAGCACTTAGTATTGTCAGTTTGGGGATTCAGTCTTTCTAAAAGGTCAAAGCCATACCTGTATCTGTGACTATCATTATCTCACTTTCCTAAATCTGTTAAAATTGTGTTGTGAGCTGCCTTCATAGAATAACTTTTTATTCTTTTCAGAATGAATGAGAAACTGCGAATCTAGACACCCAGAGGACTGGACATGTACAGCCTGTTATCTAAGAAAACCTAAGTCCGGGCACTATGGAAAGCATTGCTTTGTGACTATTCCTGGAAGAAAGGTACCATACTGCCCCTGAGGAATGGAAACTGAGCAGGCCTCTTGATTTCTGCCACACTTCACCTGAAGAGAACAGCACTGTGCACTTGTCTAGCCTCAGATACTAAAATTTAGCCAGGGGTGGTGGAACACTCCTGTTGGCCACAGCATTGGAAGGTAGAGGCAGGAAGACCAGGGTAAATGCTATTCTCTCAGCTACATAGTAAATTTGAGGCTAGCCTGGACTACACAAAACCCTGTCTTAAAAAATATTTAAAGTCCTCTCAGAGTAAGGAATTCAGTTCCACCCTTAGAGATTTTTCTCCTCTACTTTAAAGCTTTATAAAATGAGTAGATTAATCTCTGCATGGACTTCTGTAGCCACCACTGCTTCCCCAAGGGTGCATCCCTGTTTGGTGATGAACCATCAGGGGTTATGTCCAATTGCAGGTTCTAATCCTGTGCAGCCTGGCATATACCTTCTGACATGGGTTCTCTTTCCCAACTATAGGTTCCTCCCCAATAGATTTGCTCTTAAGAGACTTTCTAAGCCCGTGCTTTTCAGCTAGCACAAAATCCAGATTCCTCTAGCACAGTGATTCTCAACCATCCTAATGCTGAGACCCTTTAATACAATTCCTCATGTTGTGGTGACCCCCAACCATAAAATTACTTTGTTGCTACCTGACAACTAATTTTGCTAGTGTTATGAATCGTAATGTGCATTATCTGATATGTAGGCTATCTTATATGCAGCCCTTGTAAAAGGGTTGTTTGACACCCAAAAGGAGCCACAACCCACAAGTTGAGAACCACTTCTCTAGCAGAACCTTGGAACAGATTTCGTTTCTCAACTCAGGTTATTTAGGTGTCTAGCAAGGTATCATTGGGTTATCTCAAAGACAGGCCTACCTAACACCAGACTAACTCATTATTTCTCACCAACACCTTTAGATTTAGTCAATCGATTTAGTCTATACTACCTTTCATGCTGATGGAGAGTTTTGTTGACTGCTCCATGACAAACCTGCAAAGGAATCACCTCTGGGACTGTGCTTGCCATCCGAGGTAAGAGAACTTAAGAGGATCTCTGTTCAGTCTGTCAAATCAGACCCAGCCATAATATCAAAAAAACTCCACACTCTGCTTTGACAGCATGTCAGTTTTCTAGCTTCTAGTTAAGGTGAAAACCAGGACTGCCTCAGAGGAAGCCAACCCTCTGGGCTGCTGTGAGGCCACACTATAGCCAAGACCAACTTGGCTCTGAAGTGGTTATAGTTGCAAACCAGGCTTGGAAATAGGTAAAGATAGACAGTGATCACAGTTGTTTTTTTTTTTAAAAAAAAGCTTTTAATGCGACCTCTTGGTGGTCCATAATCTTTACAGAGGCCGCTAATGGGCCAGGAGGGCATCTGTCAGCATTCATCATTGATTGTCTTGGTTAAAATTCCTTGGCTAAGAGCTTTGTTCTTTTTCAGCTGTACTGTACAGCCTTGTGCAAGCTGAGCAAGTACTCTAGCAACTGATCTCTGTCCTCAGTCACCCTACCTACACCCTTTTCTTTAAATCCTTGGTGCCAATTCCAGACCAGCCTTGACTCCTACTACTTATACTGACATGATCTGGCTCCAGACTCTAACCTCTTTTAAGAATAAAAATAAAGACTTGTTTTAGACTCTGAGCAAATATAGCTAGGATATATTCCAGATTGGGTCTCAACTTAATCTAAAAGAAGGGAGGGGATCCTGTTTAACTAGGTTCTCAATTCAAGGTTTGTGTTACAGTAGGGACTGATGTGTTTCCACAGTCCAGTTAGTATGAGGCTTCATTACCACAGGCTACTGAGCAGAGGTCCCTTCCCCTTTATCAAGATAAAAGTCCTTCATCGAGTGATAGTCTTTGATCATTTGCCTTGCTGAGTCTTGGAGCTAAACGTGCAGGGCCTCAAGCCTATCTAGCATGTCTTCTCCCTCGTTCCTGGATGATGGGGCCAGCCAAGAGCTGCATGGGCCTTAGGCTCCTCCTGATCATCACAATGCACCCTGGGTTCTGTTTTAATTCTGCAGTGTCCATCCAGGGAACAGGGCTGGCCTCCATCTGCCTGGGTCATATGACCATCTTCTATGTGGTCTCACCTAAGAGACCCCCTACTCCAGGGTCATCCTGTTTTTCTCGTGTTTGTTGCTATTTTTCTTTCTTTTGTTCTGATGCTTCTGTTGGACTTGCCTCCACGGTGGGCTCTGGCTCTGGCTCCAGTGGAAGTGATGGTGGCTTTGTGAGCTGGGCCCCTACAGCACCTTGCAAGGAAACAAAACTTGAATTCTTAGTTACTCCATTTCGGAAGAAATCATTTAAGAGGGAATTCTGTACTGTCTGAGACTATCAAGACTGTAGTGCATCCTGCAGCTAGGAGGAACACCCATAACCAAAGGAATAAAACACTAAACTTGTGAAAATTAAAGCAAAAATTTACAACAGCATGCACTTAGTAAATGCATTTCTAACCCTAAAAACTGACTCCCAGCTAAGCCTGCCTGTATTGTTATCTACCTAACAGTTTGCCCTTCAAAAACAAATGCTGATTTGGGCTTTTCCCCTCTGGCTAGTACTAAATTGGCCATGAGCTTGCAGAGTGCAAGCCTCATTCAAAGCTGGGATCTCTGCTGGCTGAAGTAGGTTATCCCCGTAAGTCTTCACAGAGCTCTGTGTAGCCTCCTACCTGAAGGGAGTTTCCTGTATGCAGCTGCTGAAGCCATCGCCTCTCCTAGAGCTTGAAAGGTGCCGAGAGTCTTCTGGAGAGCAGCAGATTTGCTAGCTGAATTGGTCCGGTGCTTTGACTTGGGATCTTTGACTGGTTTGGTCCAGACCAGTGCTTCTCCAACCTGGAGGGCAGCTCCCAACTTCTGAGCCATCTCTACCATCTTGTGCCCACATGGGAAGAAAAAAAGCCATTGACAAGACCAGTAGAGCCAAGTTGCCTGCTGGTACTAGTAGTTGAAAGAGGAAGTACTTATAATAAGGAAATCTCTTTCAAGTGCTGGGATTACAAGTGTGTTTTCATGCTTGGCCTAAGGAAATCATTCTCTAACCGAGAATACAGGTTGCTTACTGGATACCAAGGGGACTCTGAAAAAGGGTCTTAAAATGCAACCATTCAAGTTTGATGCTTCACTGGGCAAACTGCCTGCTCCTGATAAGCTGTATTAGTAAGAACACAGTAAACCTGAATTATTTTGTTACTTTCTTCTAGCAAAGTTTGTCTAAGACTGTAACTAACTGGTAAATTCATGCTGCAATGAACATGAAGCCAAAAGAAACATGAGCTTATGATACCTTTCATCTACTAACAGCTTACTTAATAAGAGACATGATAATAATGATGATGCTAATAAGAGATATACCTCAGAGTCAAATTCCAGAGGACTGTTGTCCTTGAGAAAGTTGACCTTCTTCTCCATCTCCTGGTACTGAGCCAGGGCACCCTTTTTCTCACCCTGGTTATACAGCAGCACAGCATAGTTCAGGTTTACTAAAGGGTTAGACCTGTGCAGAGAGACAGGGCTTCTGTGGGACTGGGGCTCTGCAATAATTAGTCATTTGAAGGTCCTTCTCCTTATACAAAATCCAAACAAAACTGACTAAGTAGGGTTGTCCCCATTATACAGCAAAGTGCTATGTGACTGACCCACAGAGCAGAGTCAAGGAGCAAAGCAAGATAAGGACCAAGTCTGGCACCAACAAAGCTACCCAGGGAAGGGCTGCACAAACATCCCAGGCCTGCTGTGTAGCAAGTGCTGGGGGAATAAATTCCCCCAGGAATCTTGTTTCTCTTTGGTTAATCTGAGCCCAGGGTCCCACCTGCTAATCTGGTTAGCTCACAGCTTATCAGCAACCCAAGCCAGAGTGCTGCCAACTCTTTGACTTGCTTTGGATTCCTGATTATAGAGCTCAGAACTAGAAGTTGTTTTCTCAGGCTTTTAATTTTTGCCAAGCTCTACTTGCTTAAGAACCACAACCTTCCGAATTTATGCCACGTAGTGGCTAAGCTGACTCTGGCAGCAATAGTCCTATGGCACACTTTGCAAAATAACACTCCCTTGCCCTTTCCCACACAACAGTATGCTCACTTATCCAGGCGGACAGCTTCTGCATAAGCTCTCTTCGCATTTTCTGTATCTTCCAGATTGGTCAGAGCCACTGCCACAGAGAAAATTAGGAGAGCTCATCTTAGCAAAAATAATACTGTAGACCACTCTCGAAATAAAGCCTCTTTCATCCTTCAGCTTAGCTGCCTCACCACAACAGATTGCAGTTATGCCTCATACTTTACCACTGCTTTTCAGGTATTTCCCTTGTTCAAGCTCAAACAAAGTTCTCCATTTGTCCCCACCTGCCTCCATCTTCTCGCTGACTTACAAATACACTGACCACATCACCGTTCTACCTAAGAATCCTTGCTTGTTCTCCATCATCTATAACCATGGTCGCTAAAACTTTCAGTGAGCCACAGAACATTTTCCTCTTTTTCCCCCAAAATCAGGATTTCCTGAAAGCCTAATATATAAACCTAAAAATAGCTACTCTGAGAGTCCTGCCAACTCTACCTCCCCAAGCAGCCAAACAGGCAACTATGAGAACTAGGAACATGGAAGGACCCTGTGCCATTCCACAGCCACACACCATGTGGCCATGTGAGTCTAGCTTGTCCTTAAGGCTGTGTGATGTTGGCTCTACTTCGTCAAGTTAGAACTGATGCTTCTGCCCTAATGTAAGCAGTGAGGAACTCTTGTCTTACAGTAAAGCTCTGAGCCTCTCCTGAAACTTGAGCTAGCTTTGTATTCTGGTGTTCTCCAAACAACCACCATGCTTTTGACTTTTCTTTCATAATTGAAAACACCACGGTAATGACCAAAATACACACCAGAAAATACTCCCTAGAAGAAATATTTCATTAGTTTTTTAAAATGATTTTTGTTGTGGTTTTTGAAACAGTGTCAGGGTCTCACTAACAGCTCAGGCTGGCTTCAAATTCATTATCTTCCTACCTCTACCTCCAAAGCTAGGATTATAGACTTGTTCCACCTCTGCCCACCTTAATTTTAATTTATTTTGTATGTCATAAATGGAAGTTGGGACTAGAATGATAGTCTAGTTTGACTTGAACTACCAAAGACCAGCTATATTAACAAAATAATGGGATCAATGAGACAGCTCAGTGAGTGAGGGTGCTCATTGTCTGATGACTTGAGTGGGATCCTTGGTACCCACATGATGGTAAGAGACAAACTCCTCCCTCAAGTTGCCCTCCGACCTCCATATGTGCACTGTGATTATAAATGTTTTGTTTTGGTTTGTTTTTGAAAAGGGACAAATGATTTAGTAACCACAATAAGCCCCAAAGGTTTAACATTTATGATGTTTAGCCATATGATCCTCACATCAACCCTGGGTATATGCAGTTAGTAGTGGAGGCAGAACCTATACCCAGGTTCCTAATATATATGAGGGTTGTTAGCACAGCTCCGTGGTAGAAGGTTTACCTAGCTCCATGCGAGACCCAGGGTTCAATTTCCAGTACCAAAAACAACAACAACAACAACAAAAAAGAAAAAAAAAAAGAATACCAATAGTTAAAAGAAAAAACTGTTAAGAGGGGAACTATGGGGGGCTGGAGAGATGGCTCAATGGTTAAGAGCACTTGCTGTTCTTGCAGAGGACCTCCAAATTTGGTTGTGAGAATCAGATGGCTCACAACTGTCTGCAACTCTTGTTCCAAAGAACCCAATGCCTTTTTCTGGACTCACATGTGCATAAACTCACACACAGACATACACATATATACATAATTAAAAATAAATTTTAAATTCTTTTTGAAAAAGCTAGGTGTAGTGGTACACACTTTTAATCCCAACAGAGGCATCCAGATCTCTGAGCTGAAGACCACAGTAAGTTTCAGCCCAGAAAGGACCACATAGTGAGACCCTATCTTTAAAAAAAAAAAAAAAAAAAAAATCTACGAATACAGATGATCTTGATTTAACCTGTTAAGATTCTGAGTTCAAATCCCTTAGGTTAAAAGCAACCAGATACTTGGTCACTTTTTCTTTTAAACTTCTTCAAACTCTGAGGCAGTAATTCTATAGGATTTCTAAAAGAATGTCTATTTTAGGGCATTTAGTTACTAACCTGTGATCCTAATTAACTTTTCCATCATTATAACTCACGAGAAGGGGTTCTATATAAATGTCCCTTACCAGCCAAGAGCATGTAGAGTTCCCCCATCTTTGGCTGGAAGTTGATAGCTGCACTGAGAAAATGGAATGCTGATGCATACTGCTGCATAGTCAAATGGACAAGGCCCAGATTGTACAGAATCTTCCAATCGAAGGGTGCCAAGTAATTGGCTCGTTTTAGGCAGCTGATAGCCTGCAGAAACAGGGGCACTCAACCAAGGTAAGACAAGCTCAGCAGACCCAATAACCACATGGATGAGTATGACCAAGGACTGTAAGGAACACTCACTGCCACGTATTTCTTCTTGCCAAAGAAACACATTCCAATGTTATTCCAAAGTGGAGGACTTTCTGGAATAGCACAAGCTACAACTCTGTATTTGGTGAGGGCAACATCAAAATCCCCATGGGTCTGCATCATGCTGCCTGCTGCCAAGATGGCCTGAAAAACACAGTGCATATAAAGTTAATAATTCCGTCATCCAAGAAGTTCAAGGCCATGAGACAGTCTCCTGAATGTACATAGTAAGCCCATTAGCACAGACATGACCAAGAAACTTCTTTCAGGTATATGAATATACCCAAACTACTAAGACAACTGCTCCTAAGAAATGTCTTTGGAATCCCACAGCATTAAAAACATATAATGTTATTGGCTCTATCTAGCTCCATTTGTCTCCTACTTCCAGCTAGGGAAATCAGTATTCTGGTAATTAGTGCCTTTCATCTTTGTGCATGAAATGCTCCAGACACCTCACATGTACCTGTATATGGCTACTTAATAGCCAGCTCTTTCTGGCTCAGGATGCGATGTGAGTTGGCTTTCGTTTTTTTGGTTTTTTGTTGTTGTTGTTTTTCAAGACAGGGTTTTTCTGTGTAACAGTTCTAGCTGTCCTGGAACTCAACCAATCTGGCCTCAAATTCACAGAAATCCACCTGCCTCTGCCTCCCAAGTGCTGGTATTAAAGGTGTGTTCCACCACACCTGGCTTGGCTTTAGTTTTTATCAGTCCAGCCCTATCATTTTTTTAAGGAAAAGTATCAAGATAGGGAGCCAGCAGAGCCAGGCTGCTGACTTCCTAAATGATGACCAAGTTTGTATCCAACAGCCCTATCTAGTTATGTCCCCCTCAGTAATGTTCATTCTCTTGATTTTCTTTCTCACCCCCAAGTCAATCTGGAAGTTATAATGTCAAATTCACAATTGTTGTAGAAGCTTGGCTACATTCTCCAGTAACACATGAATTCTAATGGCACTTGGACTTTGTAATAGTCCTTTACCACAAATGTGCTTCTTCTGAAGAAGCTGAGCATCAACACTTTATGATACTTTTAGTAAGAACTAGTCTTTTTTTTTTTTTAAGATTTATTTATTTATTATGTATACAGTGTTCTGCCTGCGCACTGGAAGTAGGCACCAGCACCAGATCTCATTAGAGATGGCTGTGAGCCACCATGTGGGTGCTGGGAACCGAACTCAGGACCTCTGGAAGAGCCAGTGCTCTTAACCTCTGAGCCATCTCTCCAGCCCAAGAACTAACTTTCAAAAGTAAGAATTAGAAATAAAAGGCACCAACATACAGATACACACAAAGCTAACTTCTTGGGTGTTTAAATGAGAAACCTATCCTATTGCCTGGGTCTGATCATCTACAGAGGTCATGGGACCATCTATAGGAAGGCCCTGTAGTTCCAAAGCCTGCAGTACCTTGTAGTTGGCAGGGTCGTAGGTCAGTGCATTCCCAAGGTGTTCAAATGCCTTCTGGTAAACACCAAGCTGGAAGGAAGGAAAGCAAAGAACTGACATCAGGGGAGACGTCAGTTTAGGAGTCTAGTCAACCATACCCTGAATGGAAGCATGCAGTCATCTGTGAGTTCTCTTGACCCCACCCCCCAAAAATACTAATAATAATAAAAAAAAAATAAAGTGGGTATACCAAATAAAATGCAAATCTCCATGTTTGTGATTTTCTTATTTTGTTTATTTTTCTCCTAATAAGATTAAAGTATCTTCTGCCCCCAAACCCATTTCATAAACACTCATTCTGATCAATAGTAATGCCTCCTGGCTGGGACTGTGGTAGCTTGCTTCTTGTCCCTTTAGGCCTGCTCACAAGCCAAAGCCCCGAGGACTCAGAGTTAAACTCTTGGTTCTTCTTAAAGCAATAGTTATAAAAGCTACTTTAGAGGCACATCAGCTGAGCAGGGACCCGTAGGGTGGGCAAGGTAAGACAGCTCAGAGACCTGGGGCTTCAGGGACTCAGGTGGACAGAAGTGGCAGAGTTAAGAGTCCCATCCACACTTAGGAATCTGAAGGGAAGGGGAGGTTTCCTCTCTAAAAATATATCCCTTGCTCATATCCTGCAGGACCTCGGCTAGCAAGATGAACCAAGAGGAACAATCCTGGCCTCGAAACACTACAAAATGGTAAAATATATTAGTTTTTCTTCCTTCCCCCCAACAATAACAGCCCCCAAACCACACAGCTGTTTCATATATATAACCTTCCCTATTGCATAAGAATTGCTATTATAGGTGAGACAGTTGATTGGCTTGATCAGTTTGGGAGGCAACTAGGCAGTGGGACCAAGTCCTGTGCTCATTGCATGAGTTGGCTGTTTGAAACCTGGAGCTTATGCAGGGACACTTGGCTCAGTCTGGGAGGAAGGGACTGGACCTGCCTGGACTGAGTCTACCAGGTTGATCGCAGTCCTCGGGAGAGGATTTGCCCTGGAGGAGGTGGGAATGGGGGGTAGGCTGGGGGTAAGGGGAGGGTGTGGGAGGGGGGAAAATAGGGGAACCTGTGGCTGATATGTAGAACTGAATGGTATTGTAAAATAAAAAAAAATTGCTATTATACTAGGCTGAAATAGAATTATGACTTGAGAGCCAATGTTAATTCTTTTAGCAGTGAGTATATAAAAACAAACCAAGGTTCATGATTGTACTATGACTGTTAGTAAAATGTGCCATATAGAAAAATGAAGGAAACCATTATAGATACAACCCCTAAAGCGTTTCTAATACCAATGTGTGAATAAACAGATTTCATTACCTGTAAGTAGAGTAATCCTAAAGTTGTAAGAAGGTCTGTATTTTCTGGTGAGAACCTGTAACATAGAGATGCTCACAAGGAAACCATGATTATGAGATACAGACTGACAGTCATCTGCCCCACTGCCAACATCCAGGACCCTTTATTAAACCTCTTCCTTTCCCATGTAAACTTCTGAGAGCAATTTGGCAATTTTCTTAAAAAACAAATCATCTCAATCCTGGCAACAGAGAAAACCTGCTCAGCAGAACGAAGCAGGGCTTAGAATCCAGACTCCTTGTTGGAGCCTTTCTTTTGGACCAACAGCAACCTTAAAAAAGAACTGTGTGGAATGATTCATCACACTGAAAATAACCAAGCTTAAGGCAAGTCAGTCAGGACACAGTTATGCTAGTCCTTCTATTGAGACAGCTCTTTGCTACTTTCCCTGCGCTTACCATGGTAGGTAGCCTACTTCAGTACTATGTCATTTAGGACTCCAAGGCCCCGATGCTGTGCTCTCTAACTTGCCAAACTAAACAAAAAAAAGGAAGGCACATAGCAGACCTTGGAAAGAATTAGACACTGGGTCTTGGGAGTAAACACTGACCTAAGTATTATCTGACTTCTCTTGTCTTTGTCAAAAAGCCAAAGCAACATAGTTGAGACCATCTGAATATAAGATCGTCAGTTTCAACAGTTAAAGCATCAAAGAGCAAGGAGCTGTCTCCTGCTTGGGAGGGAGGGAGGGAGGGAGGGAGGGAGGGAGGGAAGGAAGGGGGATGCTTGTACCTTGTAGGAAGTCCAGAACCTGCAGAGCCGAAGCCCAAGCCATGCCTGAGCTGGCAAACAACTTTCTCAGTGCAAATGAGAATTTGCCTCTCACTTTTCTATAGTAAGGATCCATTTTGGTCATGTCCCTCCCAAACCACATATGTAACTTGTCCTCCCCATTCTTCTGATTCCATCAGTATCTGTCCCCCTTCCAAAAATAGTCCTCTCCAAAGCTTCAGGTCTTGAACATACCTTCTCAAATACTCAACTGTCTGGTTTTCTCCTTTGAGAAGCTGAGTGACTCAAATCTCTTGAGTGGTCACTGTCAGTACCCTCACGGGATTCATGTGCACTAACTCAAAATGCCAACTTGTATAGGACAAGGGTCAGGAACAGGCCAACTCTCCGCATTATAGGACTTGACTTACTCTATGGACTCCTGTCCACATAAGCCTGACCTTTTGATGATAGAAACTGTTGTTTACCAAACACAAGAGATTTTTCTGTCACAAAATGTAGTTAAATAAAGATGCAGAAAAGAAAGCAGTGCTATGATTGATATAGCCAGGAAGTTTACCCTGTGGTCAACGAAGCTAAGAAGTGACCAGTACTCTATACCAGTTCAAAATTTTAGTCCATGAGTCACACATATTCTATTCTGTGATCAAACAAGATACCTGAACATTTTATACTATAGCTGTCCTATTTAAAAGAAACAAGCAAGGTGCAGAGGCAGGTGGGTCTCTGTAGGTTCAAGGCCAACCTGGTCTACATAGCAAATTCAAGGCAGCCAGAGCTACATACTGAGATCCTGTCTCAAAATAAATAAATGAAACAAGATAATACTACACAGGAAAGACAAGATTCCAGGTGTTCCTAGAGAGGAAACGTGGAACAGTAGCACGAGAAACTCAGTCATCCATTATCAACAGGTTAGACTATCCTAATGATATTTTTAAACAAACAGCAGCAACAGCAAAACCCATGATATCGGGACTGGACTGCAGCTCAGTTGTAGTACTTGTGTTCGGTTAAGCATGGACGAGATTCTATCCTCAGCATAAAAAACCAAAATAACAGTAACACATGACATATTGGTCTTAGACTAGTAAAACCAGCTGTCTGTTACTGAGCTAGGAGATTCCTGTTCCTAATATGATCTCTAGGAACAAAGGATCTGCTATGAAGTATTTAACTAGACAGTCACACTGCCAGCTGACCCCAAATTCTAGCCGAGTGCATGCCCGCCCACTTCCCTTGCAACTGTGTGCTCCTACCTAATTTCAAAAAGTGTACAATTTTAGGCCGGAGAAATGGCTCAGAGGTTAAGAGCACCGACAGCTCTTCCAAAGGTCCTGAGTTCAATTCCCAGCACCCACATGGCGGCTCATAACCATCTGTAATGAGATCTGGCACCCTCTTCTGTATGCATACTAAATAAATAAACCTTAAAAAATATTTTTAAAAAAAGTGTACAATTTTAAGGTTATGTAAAACTAGGATGCTTATTCCATATTTAGCTTCCAGTATCATCTTCCTTCAATATGGCCTGGAACACATGTTACAGTGAGTTACTCAGACAGGTGAAAAAAAAAGAAAAAACACCTAAGGAACCTAAATCTCCAGTTGGCCTGTGGAGCAGCTAGCCTAGAATGGACACTGTTATATAAGAAAGAAACAATCTGTTCTCCTAATGTATCTGTTCCATTGCTTTTTTCATCGCTTCCTGTAGGTATGTCCAACCTGTGCCCATGGGCTGCATGCATTCCACAATAGCTATGAATGTATCCCAACAAAAATAGCAGACTTACAGAAAACTGGGATTTGTGTGTGTGTGTGTGTGTGTACAATTTTTTGTTATTCAATTGTGCAGTTCTTGAGGGTGATAATCTCATGTTGCAATGTTAAAAGGTAGACACACTGGTTAGAGTCTAAGAGAAAGACACTTACTCGACTGCTTTCTTGTAGATCTCAATGGCTTTGTCCAGGTCTCCCTCCAGTAAGTGGATCTTCCCCAGCATTATGTAAGTCAGGTCATGCTTGTTAAGCTGGAGGGCACTGTGCAATTGGTCTTGTGCCTAATTAAAGTTTAATGGAGTAAAGAAACCAAATCAATACCACTGAAGGACAATGGTTTCCTATGGTGAATATGAAAGCAGAGCTTTGATGTTCTTATGTGGGAATATCATGTCTCAGAAAATAGCTTTTACCATCTAAAAACCAAGCATAGCCTAATTGGCCTTGCTGAGTTCATGAGATGATCAAGTTTCTTAATGTTTCCTATTTGACATATACACCTATGACTTAAACTTCATAACCCTAAAGGGACATCACAGTACAGTATAGAATACCCAGCAAACTTGATCCCACCTACACTCCTGACTACCTGAACAACCATTGCCAGCTGGACCTTGTTTTCCTCAACAATATGAACACAAATTAACATAAAAGTTGTTTTTTTGTTTTTTATAAAAACAGATGTTTATTACAGAATGTTAGAAAAACGACCCATTAACTGCTTTAAATAATCAAAAACCACACCTCTGCAGATGAGAAAGACCCAGCAGCATACAGACATTTCAGGTTAGAGAGACATGTCTGCTCCTGGTGAATCACTTCTGGAAAATTCTCGAATATTTGATTCCAAAGTGAATGTATGAATTGGCTTGACATGATTAAAAAAGTAAACTATAAATATAGTTGAAACAATGGCAATAATTAGTTTACAACAGTCATTCCAGGACAGTGACTAGAGAGCTGTTCATATGTGTCCTGTTTGTGTGTATGTACACACAGATCAAAATCAGGTCAAATAGGAGCAGCATGTGCCCACACATTTGAAGACCCTGAAGAATGCCATTGAAAGGATGTATAACATCCACTACACATCTGTCTCAAGAACAGCACACTCCTTACAGGTAACACTGGAGCATTAACCACTACAGACGCCACGGGGAGGACCTCAAATCCGCTGCACTCAAAGGCATCTGCTGTATCTGAGGCATCCATTTTAAATCTTGGGGCTTTAAGAACACCTTTGTTCTAATGGGTTTTATATTTCCATTTTCATCTTCTTCATAATTGGCTCGGTCCCTCTCCTTGGCAAAATTTTTCCAATTGTTCCCACCAAACTCTCATATCTCCTCGCCATCTCTTGATCCCACACATCCACCTCCACTGTCTCCTCTTCTTCTGCCATGGCTTTGTTCTTAGAATTCATCTGAAGCATTAACTTCCCAACTTCAGTATTAAATCCTCTGAACGACATCCTTCCATAGAGAAGATCTTCACATAGTGAGAAGCTCTGCTCTTCAATGATGAAACTCTCTCCTTGAACTCTGGCAGATCCAGGTACCAGTGCTCATCACTGATCATCTTCTTTTCCTCCTCCTCCAGTTGTTTCTTGGTTTCCGAATCCAGGCCCTTTTGCATGAACTTCATGCACAGCAGGTTCTTGGATAACTTAGTCTTGCACTCAGATGCCATGTTGGGTAGAGTTCGAGAGGCTAGCCTAAAAGTTGTTCTTATTTATTCATTCAACAAGTATTCATTGAGTGCCTGCTGGTCTAGATGCCTGGTATACTAGAGTTAACAAGAAAATAATGCTATGGCTGTGCCTGCCTCATGGAGGTTCAGTCTTCAACACCACCCAACAAGAACAAACATAATATAACTTTTTGCTCTGGAGGAGCCTACATCTTAGTAGGCTGAATAAAACTTTTTCATTCACTGACTCAATGAGGGCTTCTATAAATGTCAGGTGTTGTGTTTGTTTAGCCTGTATAATAAATCTAAATGTAACTCTGCCTCAGTACAGGTCCAAAGGCCAATCCTCCCTCTCCCCTGACTTAGCTATACTATGAACAGGAATGTACCTGATCAAAATAGTTTCTGAAGAGAAAAATTTAATCAGCTGTATAAAACTATAGATTCATCAAGAAAACTTATGTATCCACTGAATATGTATTTTATTATATATATCTCACAAAAAATAATTCTTACACTCCAATTGCTAATATGCAGGTATTTTTCATATCCCTGAAAGACAGACTAGGTTACATTGTGAACTTGCAAAGCCGTGTTAAATGGGTATTAATGAGAGTCAGTCTTGGTAGCGGTTTAAAAAAAAGGAGAACAAAGCCTCACAGTCACCAGGTTATGAAGGAAACTACCTAGTCACCATCACTACCCTTCAGAACTCTCAAAAATTCATCTGTTCCTCAATTAAGACATATATCTAGGGCTGGAGAGATGGCTCAGCAGTTAGGAACACTGCTACTCTTCCAGAGGTTTGATTCCCAACACCCAGTTGATGGCTCACAACCATCTGTATGTAACTACAGTTGCAGAAGATCCGAAGTCCTGGCCTCCAAAGGGACCAGGCACACACATGGTACACAGACATACATTCAAGCAAAACATCCATAAACATAATAAAATAAAAAATTTCAAAGTTTTAATTTGAACAAAAAAACAGGTATCTATTTATTAATTTGAGAACCAAAGTAAGATTAACATGCTTTGTCTTATATCAAAGTCTTAGAGCAAAGTTTGTTTGGAGTGAAATATAAATTCACATCAGAAAAATTCTTATCATGAAACAAAATTCAATCCCCTTAAATTCATTTTCATTGACCTTAAAAGTAAAAATCAAGGCCAAGCATGGTGGTCCACATCTTTAATCCCAGCACTCAGGAAGCAGAGGCAGGTGGATCTCTGAGTTTGAGGCCAGCCTAGTCTACAGAGTGAGTTCCAGGACAGCCAGGGCTACACAGACAAGCCCTGTCTCCAAAAACAAAAACAAAACAAAAAGTAAAAATCAGTTGTTGTCAAAGGATAAGATGGTTCTCATGGTCAAAATGACACCTTAAGGCAAACACGTGCGTGTGCCTCTGTGTGTGTGTGTGTGTGTGTGTGTGTGTGTGTGTGTGTGTGTGTGTGTGTGTTTCTTTGAAACGGTGTCTCACTAGCCTTAGGCTGTTCTCAAACTCAGATGCTTCTGCTGTTAGTCTCTCAACTGGTGAAATTACTGGAGTGTGCAACAATGGCCTGAGAAGGTCCACTTTTTGATTTGTGTCTTGCTGGACATTTGTTTCTATACTAGAACTTTAATGGGAGGTTGAGAGAAAGAGAGAAGGCAACTGGACCACCACTGATAGTCTAGACTCCTCCTCCACTTTTTTTTTTAAAATCAAAAGTAAGAAAAAAATGGGTTGGAGAGATGGCTCAGTGGTTAAGAGCACTGTCTGTTCTTCCAGGGATCCAGGTTCAGTTCTCAGCACCCACATGGTAGTTCACAACTGTCTGTAACTCCAGTTCTAAGGGATCTGACACCCTCATAACAGACATACATGCAGACAAAATACCAATGCACATAAAATAAAAAATCATAAAAATTAGGGAAAATGAGTAATGACAAGTATTAACATGGTAATAACGATAAAAGGCAATTTTTGTTCCCCAGGCTCTGCAGACAATAGAGTCAATACACAATGGACAGTGGCTCTTCTGTGACAAATGAATCACAGTGAATTCCAGTCAACTACCATCACCATTTTTATGATTACCTTGTTGAACTGCTTTAGATAAGTATAGCACACTCCCAGGTTATGGCAGATCTCCTACATACAAAAGAAAGGAGAGTGGTCAGGTGTTACATCTACAAGAAGCAGGAGAGCACAGCAGTCTAAAGACTGTAGTTGAGGGTTTTTTATGTTCATAAATATACATGATTCTACAAAAAAATTCCTAAGTGTATTCTTTTAAATTAAAATTATAGAATGTATGATTGGAGTGATGGCTCAGCAGTTTGGAGCATTGCTTGTTCTTACAGAGGACCTGAGTTTTGAAAAGTCCCAACACCCACATGGCAGCTCACAACCCGTCTGTAACTCCAGGTCCAGGGAGTTACATGCCCTCTTCTAGACTCAAGCGCCACATATATATGTGGTGCACAGACATCCATGTAGACAAAAAACACCTAGACACATAAATATTAAAATAAAAAAAAGATTATAAGAACCAAAAGAGCAGACAGAATCTTCCCAGATCTGTGGCTAATCTGTTGAAATCTATAGCAAGGTCAGTGGGGCAAGTCCATTTTCCTTTGTAAATTACATTTTATCAGACTAGAGTTACTTCCTATGGCTCTTCTATACTAGAACCAAAACTACAAGAGTTAAGTAGCAGCCGGGCGGTGGTGGCGCACGCCTTTAATCCCAGCACTCGGGAGGCAGAGGCTGGCGGATCTCTGTGAGTTCGAGGCCAGCCTGGACTACCAAGTGAGTTCCAGGAAAGGCGCAAAGCTACGCAGAGAAACCCTGTCTCGAAAAACCAAAAAAAAAAAAAAAAAAAAAGAGTTAAGTAGCTACAGAGTTAAGTGTAAAAAGCTGCAATACTATATAAATATATGTAATAACTATATACTAAGTAATCCTTTACAAAAAAGTTTGCCTACCTCTATCTATGGAAAAGAAAGATGAATCAAAAATCCACTTTTTGACTACCTTGGCTGCTGACAATTTCTAAATCTAGCTCACTGTAAGACTAATCTGTCTTCTGGCCATAAATGATGTGAAATCTCTAGAATTTCTTTGTAATAAATCTGACTTCAGCAGATTTAGAAAGGAAACCAGTAGTAAGAAAAGTGTTTCTGGAAAGCAGCAAGGGCCCAGCACCCTGTAAGTGGTAGGAATGCAGCCCTATCTCAGGAACAGAGACAACTAGTTTAATGTTTTCCACATCTCCTAGAACAACAAAACCACAAAACCATCAGTAGTAAATCACCTGTTATACAGTAGGCTTGATACCAGATGTTTTCTTTCTTTTCTTTTTTTTTTTTAGATTTATTTATTATGTATACAGAAGAGGGTGCCAGATCTCATTACAGATGGTTGTGAGCCACCATGTGGTTGCTGGGAATTGAACTCAGGACCTCTGGAAGAGCAGTCAGTGCTCTTAACCTCTGAGCCATCTCTCCAGCCCCCCCCCCAGATGTTTTCATATATATTAATTTTCCAAGAAATCTGCAACATCAGTATAGTTCTTTTAGTTTTATAGGAAACAGAAGCTCAGAGAGGTTAGACCGTTTTCCTAACACAGAAGGTGACAGCGCTCGGATTTTTTTCTTCTTTCTTTAGTTTTGTATCCTAACCATGTACAGATGTAAACAGCAACACCACAGACTCATGAGCCTGACAACCATCCAATACTATCTACTATTATTTTATAACCAAGTACCAAATAGTGTTACATTTCATTTACAAGCATTTCAGTACATTTCTCAAATGACATGATCTTTAAAAAAAAAATCAGGGCTGGGGAGATGGCTCAAGAGTTAAGAGCACTGGCAACTCTTCCATAGGACCTGGAAGTTCCCAGCACCTACATATTACCTCACTTCCTCTTCTGACCTTGCAAATACTTCCCACATGTAGGCACATAGACATACATGCAGGCAAAGCACACACACAAATAAAAATAAGTAAATCTTTTAAAAATTTGTTTTAAACCTACAATACTATTATCCTACCTCAAAAAACGAAACTAGTATCTGTCTCAGAAAGGTCTCACATTTTAAAATTATTTCTCTTAAACCACAATTGAAATAATGTCTACATTACCAAGAACTGTGCCTTCAACTCAAGCCTGCCTCAAAACTTGTATATATTCCATTTTATCATGCTGTAAAGGAGTACATGGACAGACAAAAGAAACACCATTCTTGTCATTTAATGCTCTGCACACTAAGTGACCCCTGACCTCGTGAATCATTGCTGTAGTAGGTGATACTTGAGAAGACAGCACAGGAAATGTGGAAGAGAAAACAGAATCCTTTCTCTTTTGAGTATAGGATAGGAGTATACAGGAAGTGTATACTCCAGCCGGGGCAGCAGACACTGCAGAAATTCTCCCTACTTACCAGTTGATTCTGAAGTCAAGACAATGGCATACAGGATTATTATCCCCTTGTTAGAACCAGACTGTGGAATATCATGATGAGTACAAGAAAGCAGAGCTGAAAGATTTCCTACAGACATTTATTAGGTATCACATAGATGGTATCTGGCTGCTTGCTGTCCCAAGTGAGTCAGAATACCAAGTGAGCTCTTTCAGCTACACGGAGCAGGAGGCGAGCTTCATCTCCCCTTTGCCCAGCCCTCCGGACTGATCTGTTTTTTCTCTTCTCCTCTTCCTGAGCTCCATCCTCAACTCACTGCCAAATAACTATCTCAACCAGTTTCAATGGGTTCAGTTACTAACTTTACGTTCCTGACTCTAAAATGTTCATCTATAACCTAGAACATCGTGATTTCATATCCAACTATGCACTGGACACATCTCAATTTAGATAGCCTACCAGAACCTAAAACTTCCTTTGTCCAAATTTTTCTGAAAGACAAAAACCAGAAAGTGAGTGAGTGAGTGTGTATTTACTCATGCTCGGCTGCAGGGCCCAAGGACTTCCTGAGCTGCTTCCGTACGTGTAGTTTCACCTTGGCCTCTAATGATTCAACTCAACTCAGCTCTTGGGAGGTGCAGACAGGGGGATCAGGAATTCAAGGCTATCCTCTGCTACACAGCTAATTCAAGGCCAGCCTGGACTAAATGTGACCCTGTGTACAAAAGACAACGGGGATAATGACAGTAAGATGACTCAGTGGGCAAAAGCACTTGCCACTAACCCTGACGGCCTCCTGAAGGAAAGCACCAACTCCTGCACTCACCAAAGCATGTGTCCTCGCATATACATAGAGTGTAGACAAAACACATGGATGGATGGGATGAAAAAAATTCAAGTTAATAACCACACCCAGAGAAGAAAATAACTGAGATTGAAATGTACTTAGAAAATCATAATGCTGGCAAGATGGCTCACTGGGTAAAGGTACTTGTGGCCAAGTCAGCTGACTTGAGTTCAATCCCTGCACCATGGGTGGGTGGAGAGAACAAGCTCCCACAGGCTGTCCCTGACCCCACCCCGAACACCCTGTAAACACAGTAAATAAAGTGTTATTCAACTTTTCATAACCAGTGCCCTAAGTACTCTAAGGGAAACTGTGTTCTCTCTCTACTATAGTCAGTCTACTTCTCTACAGAGGAAGGTCTCTGCAAGGATCAGTCAACAGTATAAAAACAACTAAAGAAAAGCAGGAAGAGAAAGGTAACTGTGGAAACACACACAACTTCAGACTGATACGGAGAGGGTGCTAGAAGAGAGGAGAGAGAGAAGGGAAAGGAACGCCAGGCATGGTGGCGCACACCTTTAGTCCCAGCACTGGGGAGGCAGAGGCAGAAGAACTCGGAGTCTGAGGCCAATCTTGTCTACAGAGCGAGATCCAGGACAGCTCAAGAGCTACATAGTGAGACCCTGTCTCAAACAAGCAAACAAACGAGAGAGAGAGAGACAGAGACAGAGACAGAGACAGAGAGACAGACAGAGAGGACAAACTACTTAGAAATCAGAATACAACTACTGAAATTAAGGAAAAGGATAGGCTACTAGAATATATACAGCTAAAAGCAAACACAGTGATCTATCTGGGAGATAAGACTGAGCAAATGTAAAGATGTAAAAATGTATGTAAAGAATAAAATAATAGAAAATGAGAGAGAAGTTAAAAGCCACAGAGCTGCTGTGTCTGAAAGGAACTGACAGTCGATGTGCAGCCAGGGCTGATCATCCACCAGAGGCCCTCCTTTCCTGGGGAGTCCTAGTCCAGTTGAGGTCCACATTTAAATGTACTATCCAGCCTTCCTTTCAGAGGCTGTGGCTAAAGCACAGGCTCTCAGGGCTTGCTTTTCCTTGCTTCTTTGAGCTCCTTGTCTAAGAATTAATAATTCTTAGATAAGTCACCATTAACTAACCATGAGTAAATCTCAGCCTGAAATTCTAGGACTACCAAATGAATTCCAAAACCAGTGACATGGATTTTCATGGGTGGAGGGGAGAGACTTAATTTATAAAGAGAATGTTTAATCTGATTTTGTGTTGTACTTAACACATAATCCCCAATTTATACAAATAGATGGTGGAAATAAGGGGATAGGGACGGTGACTGTGGTCAAACTATGAAAAGGTCACAGTGAAACCCATTGTTTTGTACAATTAATATACACTAATAAGAAAGAGAAGAGTGCTCTGGAGGCAGAGCCAGGCGGATCTCTGAGTTCAAGGCCAGCCTGGTCTACAGAACACGAGATCCAGGACAAACAAAGCTACACAGAGAAACTCTGTCTCGAAAAACCGCATCAGAAAAAAAGAAATAAAGAAAGAGAGAAAGGGAGAAAGGGAAGCTGGTAGAAGGAAAACAAAGCGTCACTTAAACTTGTCATGATCCAAAGAAAGGCAAAAGAAACAGCTGACTGATTGCCAAGCAGACAGGGAAAAAAATACAAAAAGTGCAATGAAGACATATACTGCTGATGCTTTCTAATTCCAAAGGTAAAACAACTCAACTCCTAGAGCTCTTGGAAATGAGATTAGAGATAATCACAGCAAGAATCGGACCAGGGAAAAACTATCAGCAACATTAACAGCTGGAAACTATACAACAGTGCCTGCAAAGTTATGCAGAAATGCCATGCTGAAAACAGAATCAAAAAGACAGTTGGATCATCTGAGAATTCTAGCCAAGGGCTGGCACTATGGGGATACAAGGCAGGCAGATCTCTCTGAGTTTGAGGCCTGCCTGTTCTACATAATGAATTTGAGGCCAGCCAGGGCTACACAAACAATGAGACCCTGCCTCCAAAGAAAAAGCCACTTAGAAAATGGAACCATTAACATGCTAAGAAAGAAATGACATTTCTTACCCAGTCTTTCTGGTTAAGTTTAGCTGCTTCATTATATACTTCAGTGGCGGCTTTATGTTTTCCCAGAAGAAATCTGTGAAAATACATTTTCTATAATTACTCAAATTTCATTATTTTTGGTTTGATTGAGGCAGATTCTCATGTAACTCAGGCTAGCCTCCAGTTCATTGTGTAACCAAGGATGACCTTGAACTTCTGGTCCTCATGCCTCCACCTTCAAGTACTAGGATTACAGGTGTGTACTGCCACACCAAGCTAACCTAACTCCTCTAAGAGTAACTCTACAAGTTCACATTTCACACATATACCACAGAGCTAAAAACTGTTGAAACTCTTTTAAACACTTGAGTTGGTTGTGTGGGAAAGACAAGGGACAGTGCTGTGTCCCAAGAGCAGAAGATCCGGAGGCGGGGCTTGCATCGGCCAGTTAAGACCTTAGTCTCATACACACCAATGTTAGTGGCACTCTTCTGTAACTACTTCCTATAGCATTCTATAAAAATAAACAACAACAACAAAACAAAAAAGTCAAATGATAATACCACTAAGCATGAGCTGCCATCATTTGTCAACATCATCCAATAAGGGCGTGTCTTTTCCTCATGAATCCAAGTTTCTTTCCTTGATCATGAATTTGGAAGAAAAAAAGAATGGATTTCTATGTAAAAATGATGCAAGTATGAATGGCAACATAGGGAGGAACATGAGATGGTCCTGCATAGAACACTACACTACTCTGAAGAAGTTTATGACAACTTCAGAAGGGTTTCCATTTAGGAATCCGCAAGCCATTCGCTCAAAATACCACAAGCTTATTATATGTCAGATATTCCACTAAATACCAGAATAACAGGCTATGAATTGCCTATATGATTATAGAGGAGTTATGGTATAACACACTATGACAAAACAGTGTTCTTATCTAACTAGAAAGATCTGAGTTCCTTAATATTAGCTGACTTCCAGATTAATTCATGCTCTTCAAAATGAAACCCATTCTACTTACCATTCACTGGCTTCCCACCTATCAGGCATCTGGCTACCAGCAATAGGCTTCCCTCAGAATGCATTTCAGGAAAAAGCCTTTCTATTTGTTTTTGGGTTTTTTTGAGACAAGATTTCTCTGTGTAACAGCCCTAGTAATCCCAGAACTCACTTGGTAGACCAGGCTGGCTTCAAACTCAGACATCCACCTGCCTCTGTCTCCCCAGTGCTGGGATTAAAGGAGTGCAACACTACTGCCTGGCCCAGGAGAAAGCATTTTATGTGGTCTTCTGCGATTGCTCCAATACTCACAAAGATCTGGCCACCTGCTTGAGATTATCAGCACTCTGAGGGCTGAGAACAGCACACGTCTGAAAGAGTTCTAGGGATTCTTGGATATTTCCTTCCAGGCGTAAAATCAGTGCTGCCAAGGAAAAGAAAACACAGAAAATACACCATATTCTTGGAAAAAGAGGCTAGCATCAGAAAAAAATGGAGGAGGAGGTAAGATACCACATCAGAGAAAGCCTTTGGATAACTTTGAATCCAGTCAGTCATCACTAAATGAGTAGAAGCAAGCAAAGTGTTAGTAAGGTAACACCTGTAATAAGCTAACTTTCACCTGCTCACTCTGCAACCAGCATCTATACCCAGATAACTGGTCTTTTTGCAGATCACAGAAATTCTTCATAAGAATAATATTTTGAAAAGCTGAAGGTGGCTCAATCTGTTAAGGGTATTTGCTACTCTTGCATAGGACTCTGGTTCAATTTCCAGTATCCACATGGTTGCTCACAACCACCTGTAACTCTAGTTCCAGGGGATCCAATGCTCTCTACTAGCCTCTACAGGCACCAGCCATAAACATGATACACAGACAAACATGCAGGCAAAACATTCAAACATGTAAAACAATAATTTAAAAATATATTTAAAAAAACATAATCATAACCGGGCGGTGGTGGCGCACGCCTTTAATCCCAGCACTCAGGAGGCAGAGGCAGGCGGATCTCTGTGAGTTTGAGGCCAGCCTAGGCTACAGAGTGAGTTCCAGGAAAGGCTCCAAAGCTACTCAGAGAAACCCTGTCTCCAGGAGGGAAAAAAACCATATCTACTCCATGTCATGCACTGACCTCCAGGTGTATGTATAACACACACACAAAATTGGGTTCAAATTTCAAAGGGTAGTGAATAAGACTTTTGTGAGACATTATTTGAATTTAAGTATTCCCTAAGTTGTTGGGTTGTTTTGTTTCCCAAGAATCTAGGCTAAATATATTTTTCCAGTAAGAAAAGAAACAGTATGTCTTACCTTGGACATAGATAGCATATTCACATAACCCCTGAGTCTCCTGAAGCTGTTCTTTGATCACAGCCTAAAAGAGAAGAACACCTGAGTAGTGATTAAGTGTCACCAAGAAAAGAGTAGGAATAGGCAAGAGGCATATATGAGATACCTAGGATACTAATAATGACTAATCAGGTAGTTCCTTCAGGATTTTTGTTTTTGTTTTTCTTTCTTTCTTTCTTTCTTTCTTTCTTTCTTTCTTTCTTTCTTTCTTTCTTTCT